ACATCTTCAATTGCCAACCAAGAAATATTTAAAAAATCAACCATCATCTGGAAAATTGATGCTTATAGTTTTCTGGGAGTCTCAAGGGCCAGCATTAGAACATGATTAGGAAAAAGGTTCAACAATCCAATAGGTGCTTGTTACAGTGAGATGCTCACTGAAGAACTGAAGCCTAAATATTGGATTAAATGCAGAGGACTGATATCCAAAGGCATTGTGATCTTACATGATAATGCACGTTCACACACCTCTACTCACACTGTTGACACTCTGCACAAACTTCATTTTGAGGTGTTAATTAGTGCATCATCCTCCCTGTAGTCCTAATCTTGCTTCATTGGACTTTCACCTGTTTGGTTCCCTGAAAGCAGCCCTTAGAGGATGAAGATTCACCTCTGATGAAGAAGACTTCATGGCTTGCAGCTCAGCCTAAAACCATTTTTTTTTTTTTTAGTAAGGGAATATGAAATCTTGTTGACAGATGGACAAAGTGTATTGAAAAGAAAGACAATTATATATAAAAAAAGTCTTTTATGAAAGTTTATTAAAATAACTTCTACAGCCAAAAAAAAAAAAAAAAAGAAGATATAAGAGTGGAAACAACCCAAGTGTCCACAACAGATGAATGGATACACAAAATATGGATGAAGAAATGGTGGTGTACGAGCATCTGATGTTTTCTAACTTCATAAAAGCAGAGAACCATTATCAACAGCATCAACCCAAAGGTGGTTCCTATGATTATTATAGACTCTTCCCACAGACCTTCAACATTGCAAAGCATGCTGTTATTTTTTCAAGAGCTGATCCCTCCTGATAACATGTTCAAAGTACATGAGGTGAAGTCTTACCATCTTCACTTTGAAGGAACATTCGGGTAGTAGTTCTGTACTAACAAAGACAGATTTGTTTGTTCTTCTGGAAGTCTATGGTAATTTTTAAAATTATTATTTAAGGTTTTTATAGTGGATTGAGTGAAAGTTTACAGGGCAGATATCATCAGTTTTACATTCAACAAATCATACACCTTGTTTCATTACAATGATTAAAATCCCCTCCATGTACTATCAGTTAACAGTATTTTTCTCTATTCACTTTAGCTTTTTTTTCTTAAAACAAACAAACAAACAAACAAAAAACAAACAAACAAACACTCAGGCATATATAATAATTTACACCTCTAAAGGGCACATTCTGCAAGTCTGCCTCCTGGCTGCCAGCTCTGAGTTCCTCTCTTCCCATGAATCTAGAGTCCTCAGCTGCTCTCTCTCTCCATGACCCCATCTCTGCCTCCATCTCTGGCATCGCTGCTTCTCTGGATAAGGTCCCACATTTTTCTTGTGCTCTTCTCCCTTGATGGTCCTAGGGTCCTCTGTTTCTGGACTGTAAGATTATCCACTCTCCTGTTTTTATTACAAAACTTCTACCTTTACAATTGTGACAGTTGCAATTTGTCATGATAACAATTAGTCACTACTAAATGTTAAGAATCTTATCCTCATCTCTTTTAACCAGACTCATCTAGACAAAATGAAAACTATAAACTAAACTTCCTCTTGAAACCTTGTAAACCAGTCACTTCATGCCTTTATTGCCCCCTCATTTTAGGTAGCCAATGTCTAAGTTGCCCATCTCTATCTACCCTGTGTACAGAGGGGATAACACTGATACTTGATGTGGTGTATGGTATTTTTAATGTTCTTTGCCAACATCATAATCCAAATGCATCAATTCTCTGGTCTTCCTTATTCATTGTCATATTAAGTAAATCACTACATTACAGTGGAACACGTATAATATGGAATATTACCCAACCATAGAGTGAAATGAGTCCTGATATGGTGCTGTAGGACAAGCACTGGGCTATTAACTGAAAGGTTGACAGGTCTAACCCACAAGCTGCTCCTTGGAAACCCTATACAGGGATGCTATAAGTTGGAACTCACTATGACCCACAGTATTTTCCATTCTGGTTATTGTTCATTTTCACCCAAATTTTAAATATTGGACCTGTTCGTTCCATTGTCATTTCTTCTGTCATGGTTGAACCTAGCAGCACTGGTTTGAAACCTTGGAAGTCAACTCTTCCCAGGGCAATGGGTGTTGACTGTTTCTAGGAAGAATCTGATCATGTCCCCATGTTTGTTCCTCTGGGCTCCATGTCCACACCTCAGTCCTATCTTGAAAAGGAGAGGGTCTCCGTGAGATATGTTCCTCTAGAGGTTGCTACACCTGCAGAGTAAACCCAGATTTCAATTTAGAGTCAGTTACTTTCTATCTGCAGGGATGTAAGGTCAATCACTGGGCTTCCCTGGAGAAGGGTAGGTATACTCACCTGGTGTAGTAGATCCAGGTGATGCCAAAGGTAAGGAGGAAGCCAGACCCTATAAGGGCCCCCCTGATCAGGGTGAATATCAGGACCCTGTATCCCTTCTCCCAAGAGGCACAGCGGCAGCAAGAGGAACTACCTGGGAAGGAACAGGAGTGAAGCTCTAATTGTGGCCTCTGCCCTTCCCATTGACCCAAGCACCTGCCATCAATGCCTGCCCAGCAACTCACTCTGCACAGAGAGGCTGAAAGAGACATGCTTGGTGCCTAGGGGATGCTGAACCACACAGGTGAATGCTCCTCCATCTCCAGCTTCTACTTTGGGCAGTTCCAGGACTCCTGGATCTGAGGGCTTCGAGGGGCTCAGAGTGAGGCTTCCCCGAGCCCAGCTTAGCCTAGAGGGGGGGTTGCTGCTGGCGACACAGACCAGACGCAGGTACTGGCCCTTCTCAACATGCAGTGATGAACCATTTTCTATGATGTTGGATACTACAAAGAGAGAGAGAGAGAATCATTCTGAAAGTGGGAGATAAATAGAGGAAGAGAAAGAAGAAGTGTACAGAAAGAGACAGGGTGAGGGGGACAGACACCAAACACATGGACATAGGCAGAGAGAGAGTAGACACTGTAGAACAGACACAGAGTGTTAATTTCACAGAGTGATGTTAATTTCATGTGTCATATTGGCTAGGTTATGGTTTCCATCTGGTCAACTATGATCTAGATGCTGCTATGTATGCATATATGATAAGCATTAAAGCTACTTGGTCTTAAGTAAAAATAAAAACAGATGTCACTCCACACTGTGGGTGGATCTGATCTAAACAGTTGACAGCCTACGACGGATAAATCTGTCATTTCTAGAGGGAGGAAGAGTTTGCCTCATGACTATAGACAAGCGTCCTGCCCAAACCTCTCTTCTAACCAATTGACTTGTGGATTTGGACATAAAGCTGTTTAGTAACTCAGGGTTCCACCCCACACTGGGTTGTTGAGCCTGGGGAGAAACACACACCTTCACCACTTGCTGGTGGGACTATAAACTTGATCCACCTCAATGGAGGACAACTTGACTCTTTTATTTCCAGTTGCCATTCTGACCCATGATGACTTCATGTGTGTAGAGTAGAACCTCTCCATAGGATTTTCAAAGCTGTGATTGTTTAGAAGGAGAACACTAGAGTTTAATTCTAAGGCAGCTCTTGGTTGGTCTGAACCACCAACATTTTGGTTAGCAGTTGACAACTGAATCAATTGCACCAGCCAGATATTGAAAATTAGAAAGAATATATATGTTCCAGCTACTTTGTTTCACAGACAAAGCACTTGTGAAAGTAGATACAAGCAGACCAAAGACACAAGATTATTTTTGCTGTGGTTAGTGGGAAAATGTTATGACATGAACAAAAGATGTGCATGAAACCAGAGTTCATCCACAGAGTAGGATACAATGAGAGATCAGAAAGAGGACACTTTACTGCTGACATTGAATGACCTCTTCCTCATATTAGGGCCGGGGCACAGAGCAACATGCATAAAACACGGGTCCCTTCTGGGAAGGGAAGCGGGCACCTGGGGTCCTTTGCTGTGAATGTTGAATTTTGGCCATGAGAACCCATCGTTTCTACCAAACAACTTATATAAATGCTGTTAGGGGAAAGACAAGGCCAGAGTAGCCACCAGGAGTTGGATGATAAGGAACTCAGAGTCCTGTTCTGCTGTTTGGAGAGGGACTCCTGGGTTCAATAACAAGTCTCTGGTCACAAGGGCGAGTTCTGAAGAAGGTGGGAGACCCTGACCCCTGCTCCCAACAACCCCAGAGAAGAGAGGCATTTTCTACCTGTGTCCTTTCCTGGGAAGACAGTTATGGTCACATTCTGTGGAGAGTCTAGGACGGAAAGACTGCATCAGGGGAAAGGTGGGTGGACATTGCCCTTCATTTCCGAGTAGCTGCATAAATGGGGAAGTGGTGAAGGCCGACATCTCTCTGACCTTCTCCCAGTTCAGACTCTAGGCTCAGCCACCCAATGTTCAGGACCTTGACCCTCTTCCAGCCCTACTCCCTCATCAGAGTGCCAGGTTCCCCCATGCACCACTCACAGGTCACTTTGAGCAGAATGGTCTTCTTTGTGATCACACCTGATCCAGGGAAGGTCACCTGACATGTGAGGCTGGTACCATGGTCTTGAGGCCGTGGGATTAGGGTGAGCACTGAGGAGTTGGTGATCTTGGAATCTCCAGGAGGGATGGAGGCTCCTATCCAAGTGAATACAGGGGCTTTGCCCCGATCACAAGCCCAGGGAACAGGGCAGGTCAGAGTGCTGGGGCGGCCAGACTCCAGGGAGCCCAGGATCTTGATGTAGGGTTTCTGGGACATGGCTGGTGGGAAAGGAGAAGACTCAAGATCAAAAGGGAGGGGTTCCAGGATGCATCCCTGAGAGAAGTCTCAGGCTCTAATGCAGCTCCCTCCCATTCCCCTGAGCATCACATACTTTATCCCAACCCCTCCCAGCTGAGGATCAGAAGTCTCATCTCTTCCTCAACCCCCATGATCATCTCGTCTGGTCTCTTGGAGACTGTCCCTTACCCGTCACATGCAGGGAGAGTTGGACATTTGTGCAATTCCAGCTCATACTTCCTCTCTCCATGTGGAAAAAGTAGGACCCATTGTCCCTCATTCTGGCATCTCTGATGTCCAGGGAGCAGCTGTTTTTCCTGGGGTCTCCGAGGAGGTGGAATCGACCCTGAGTTTCAGTCTGTACTTTTCTTCTTGGGTTGTTTGTGGCCACTGGAGCATCCAGGTTTATATTGGCCCCTTCCTGGAACCAGTAGCCGTAAACTAGATCCAAGTCATTCCATCTGCCTTGGGGGTATCTGATGGTACAGGGCAGGAAAATGCACAGACTCTCTTGCACTGTGACTGATGTCTGCATTTGCAGCTGACAACCCATGTCCTGAGTCAAAGATCCTAGAGGAGAAAGAAGCTTAACTGTGGCATGATTCCCAGACACTGACAGGGACCCCAATTCCTCAATCTACTCACCAGCCCACAGGAAGGACAGCAGCAACAGCAACATATCTAGGCTGGAGGTGCTAGGTCCCACTCTGGGGAAGTCTGTTTTTCAGGGTACATCTTTAGATGAACTAACATTGCAAGATTATGCCCCAACAGGAAGAGAGGGGTGACAAAAGAGTGTTGATCAATGACCATACACAGAACAGGAAACGAAGACCTAGATGTTATCAGGGCTCACCAGCCTGAAGACCAAATATCACTTCCTTATATTCACTCATGACCTTGAGGCTAGTACAGCAAGAGACATGTCCAAGTTCATATCCGTAGAAGGGACAAGTCTTCATGTCTTATCTCTCTGCTGATGACCAACCCTCTTTGGGTGTCATGGATACAATATGAAATCAGATCTCATCAAGCGTGACCATACTCAGTCACGGGATCTAATGTTGTAGCAATCAGTTCAACAGGGGTGGGAGCCAGGAAAAGTGTTGAGAACTGAAATCAGGTACATGAGAGATGGGGCAGCCCAGGTGCGTGAGGAAAGCAGCCTTCCCTCCCCCTCCTACTTCCCTCAGTATTCTCGTGGTGGGCTCCCCTTCTCTGTACAACCCACCCGGACACTGTCCCCCAGAAGACACTATGGCCTTGTGTCAATTCTAACTCATAGAGACCCTAAAGGACACAGGAGACTGCCCCAAGGTTGTACATCTTTACAGAAGCCTTTAGAGAAGCTGGAGGGTCTGACTCATCAACTTTTTTGATTAGCAGTGGAGTGCTTAATAACCATGCCACCAGCGCTCCCATTGACAACCTATTGGAGCACGCTTCTGCTCTAACACACGTGGGGTCACCATGAGTTGGAGTTGGCACAGCACAAGCTGGTTTGTTTTTCTGGTTTGGAGGTCCTGGGAAGGAAATGATGGTTAACCTAGGCCCTACATATCTTTTTGTGTGTGTGGAGCGGGGTGGATATAAAACAAAGTGCCTCCAAACAACTCAGGAATTTGCCAGAAAATGAACACCTTCTAAAAACGGACACATTCAAAGAGCAAGACCTTTCACTCCCTACTCCTAAGGGTCCGCTTAGCTCACATTAATGGCATTAAAAGCCACGTTACCAGGAGGGACCAGTCCCTGGAGAAGGCCATCATGTTAAGCCCCGTCGGCGGCCTTAACTATTAGGAGACCCCAAAGAGATTATCAGGACTCGAGTTCGATGCAACAGCAAGAGGTTTGTTGTTTATTTGCCAACGCGCTGGGGTCCACCCTCACATAGACTCCTAAAACCAGGAGCTGAAGGCAACCCCACATTGTCTTACATACCAGTTTTTATAAGGTTTTAGAGGGCATAATTGTGCAGTACTATAGATACAGTTTCTGATTGGTTAGATATTCTTACTCTACACCTTTATTGGTCTTGGCATGAAGCAAGCTTTTTGACCTATAAGCTGATTGGCTTTGGCAAGGGATAAAACAGTTCATTGTAAGTGTGTGGTTGGAATATTCCCATCTGTCTGGGTCAGCCTGACTGTTATGAGTTTCTCAAGGATTATTTTGACATTGAGGTTTTGAGGGCTGGCTGATTGACCTCGTCTCTGGAGGGAACTAAAAACTGAGGCCTTGTCTATCTGAAATGTTTTCTGAAGCCTGACTAAAGTTTAGTCAAGTGATTTTTAGTTTGGCATGATCAGTTGGGTCCTACAATCATGCTTGGCAAAGTGGAAGGTCAGTGAAAAAGAGGAAGGCCCTCAACGAGATAAATAGGCATGATGGCAGAAGCAATGGATTCAAATGCAACAACCACTGTGAGGATGGCTCACAACTGGGCTGTAGTTTTGTTCTGTTGTTCAGAGGGTCACTATGAATCAGAACCCACTTGATGACACCTACTAGCAACAATGATGAAAACCAATCGCTGTCCAGTTGGTTCCAGCTCATAGCAATTCTATAGGAGGATAGAGGAGAACTCTCCACACAGGGATTCCAAGCAGACTGTCACATTTTTCTCATTTGGATCGACTGATGTGTTTGTACCACCAACCACAGTTAAGCACTTAACCACTGCACCACCACTACCAGGACCTCTTTCATAGCAACTACCACCTTGCTTTCCTTTGAAGGGGGATCATCAAAGCATGCAGTCTTTTAAAAAAATTTTTTTTCATGTTTTATTGTGAAAGGAGCTCTGGTAGCGTAGTGGTTACGAATCGGGCTGCGAACCTTAAGGTCAGCGGTTCGAAACTACCAGCCGCTCCGCGGGAGAAAGATGAGGCT